CCCCAAAACCCCAAAACCCCAAAACCCCAAAACCCCTTTTCAAGATTATATAATTGACCATTTGGTTATTATGGCCAATTTCTTTACCATTTAGACAGGGTTTCCTTGGCTTTTACGGGAAATGAACTATTTTCCTTGATTAACTCAGCTTCGTAATAGCATTTTAGTTATCCTTGTACCATTTTAGTAGTAATTTGTAGCAGTAACAGCTTTAAATTTGAAGATTTACCTGTGGAAATTTGCTGAAGGATACGAAAATTTTAGAAATGCTACAATTAATGCACAATAAAATTTATATTAGATTCAAATCTCCTAAATTCGTCAAGGAGTTATGATAACTTATAGATATTTAAAGTATTATCAGAATGTTCTGGAGTCTCCTGATATGACAACTGTGAAAGTTTGATTACCTTCACAACAAGTTCAAAATATTGAATTGCCATTTTCACTCATGACATATTTTGGATAGTAATCTTTTCTCCATAAATATTTAGAATTCAAGATATGATCATTCAGTGAACCAAGAAGGATTCATATGACTTCATTATCAACTGTCCTCACAAGGATCTTCAGCAAATGTTTAGAGTTTAAATAGCAAACACTTTGTAAAATTACCCTCTTGTTGGAAAACTTGAAAGCAAACCTATTATTTTTGAGAAGTAAAGTTAATTTCTAAATTTGCTCCTGTTTAATAAAATTTTGCTGCTCAAAACTCAGCAAAATTAGTAAAGATGCTGTAAACTTACTAATTACGTCCGTGGACGTATTATTTATTAACAAAATCTAAGAATTGTCTGGCCAGCCAATTCATAAAATTTACCACTATGGTTGTAACTCGTTCAGATTTCAAGGAGTAAGTTAAGATGGAGCTTAATTATTTAAAGCTCATGGCTGAGACATCTAAAAAATTAGAAGAAACTAAAGAAAACTTAGATTTTAATATTTTCTTAAAATTAGATAGCCACTGAGTTTTTATAACATGTAAAGAAAACTCAAGTTTCTTTCTTAAAATTTAGGAGCTGGTTGAAGTATAGAGACGAGTAAAGAGCCAATAAACCTTTACAAGAAGGTTTTTAGCCTCCTTTCAATCACTTAGCAGGCAAACTGTTAGGAATAAATTCGAAAATCTTTTGAATAGTTGACTTGTGGCATGAAAAGTCAACTCATTTGCATGGATCTTCCAAATCAATAAATTTTAATTGAATATGTTATCGACATAAATTTATCAGACTTCTCAGGTTAAAATCTGGAATAAAGTTAACTTAACGTATTTTAACGTCTTTTGAATTAAATAATTGGTCTTAAGAAGTTCAAACATTTTTGATACCTACTTTTATTGCTAAATTATGACATTTTTGTGAAGATAGTAGAAATTTTCGAATTATTGAAACGTTCATAATTATGATTTGCACAGCGAAACTGTCAATCAAAACTTATCTAAATTAACTAAAAATTCATAAGGGCTAACCTTCAAAAGAGGCTACATTGTCAGTTTACTTATAATACCACTTTTGAGTTAAGGTCTACCACTTCATGGTCAGGAATGAAAACGAGCAAACGAAACTTTTAGATATTAAAATTAAGCTCCACTAATACCTGAAGAGCACTTGCATCATCTGAAATATAAAAGAACTAATTTTATTCTGAATAGTGGGTAAAATAATGCTGCTTGCTATAAATTACCTATATTTTGTAACACTCAGGAAGTGTTCCATAACAAGTAAATCGATTCACCAATTCCCATAAGAGCCTGCCTAATCATATTTTGTTGACAAATTATTTATTTCTTATATAATTCAAAAGATTCGTTACTAATTTTACGCTTTAAGCTTCTTTTCCTAATTTCTTTAAAGAAGTTAGTTGCTATGTTTACAAGACTGAGGCTTTGTTCTAAGTTCAACTGATCGCAAATGAAATTTCTGAAATAAAATCTGCCCAAACAAGCCTTATTTCGGCATTGTTCACCTTAAAATTAAAAAATAGCAGCCAAAACGTGCTGTGTTATTGGAGTCATAAGATTTTATTCCTGAACATTTGCCAAGTTAATTCAACTATTACCCAAAATTTTAAGGTTGGTATTTAGAAAATATTTCAGCAAAAAGAGATTCCAGGGTGGGGGCCTTCGATGCTTAGTGAACATTTTCTGAACAAGTCATCCGGAATAATTAGATAATATGGAAAACTAAGTTTTGACATGGAACTAAATAGTTAGCATCCCATTAATCTCGCTTTTAAAAAAGAGAGATATTATGAAGAAAATGAACACTTCAGAACTTCGGCTCTTAATACGTCTCTTTATGATTAATTTGCTGAAACGAGAGCAATCATGTTCTTTGTAATATTAAGTTTAAAATTTCTGGGAAATATTTTTAAGTTCTTGCAAATATCATATCTTTATTAAAGCATTACCCATAAAATGTACTTATTGGCAGCCATTATGAAGGTCATGCTAGTATACCAATCATTTGCTAAGAATTATCGCAGATAAAGCAAATTCTTTGCTTAGATTTTAAAATAGAGCATAATGATCTAAATCTAAAATTTCGCTAAATTTATTCAGCAAAAATTCTGAATTTGTTATTGAAATTATAGTCAAAGTGACCGGTTGGAACCACTACTTGAGAAATTACTGAAATATTAGACTTATTTCTGAGGATTGTGAGGATATAGGTTTTCTTAATTTTTACTTAAACCATTCAATTGATTGGAAATCGACATCTAGATCCTTATTAAGTTGTACTTAAGTGAAGATTTTGGTATAAATTAGCTGATTACAAATCAATCTGTAATCTAGACAATGTTCTGACAAAAAATTCACAGAAAGTCTCTCAAGATTCGAAATGTGTCGAGCTGGTTGTGGGTGCCATTAGTTTCCAATACCTTGTAAATTTAATATGATTGGTTCAAGCCTCTCGACGAAGTTTATAGGTTTGTTAAAATTTCTCAATCAATCGGTCCAAAAATCCTAAAATGTGTTTGTGTTTTATAAGAACAAGTCTTTTTCAAAATTTTAATCAAATTTAGTGTTATGTCTTGGCATTCTGGCCGCTTGGTTGTGACTCAAGTTGTGAAGTCTCTAAGGAGTTGGTCCAAAAATTACCGTCATTGGAGATTCCCCCACAAGCGCTGGTTGGGGTATTACAAGATTCCTGTCTTGATCTCTTAACCTTGCAATACTTCATGGACTTTATATAGGTCCTCTACAGGAGTTATTGAAGGATTACAGGTTTTACTCTTGGATCTCTTCCTAAATAACTTTTTCCGTCGTCTGATCTGACGATGACTAGTTTGTACTACAAGGGTTAGATTGGCCTACCTTCCTAACTTTAGCCAGCCAAGCCCTGATTATGGTCTTGGATAGGTTAGTTTGTTCGTGGAGTTTCGCGATTTGAGCCTTGTGAGGAATTGGACGATGGATATGCCTCTCATACCACTCAAGCAAAATTTCTAAGCTTTCCCCAACTTCAGGGATATCTAGGCCATGGTCTTTTGGGGATTCGGTAATTGGGATGACAGAAGGATCACCAAAGCCTTTATCTCATTAGGATGCATAAGATTCAAAAATACATCAAGAAAATAGTGATTTCACCACAATAAGACTCAATTAAAATTAACTTACGGAAAATTTTGCCTATTCTCCTTGTATTGGGCTTCTTCACAGGTCTCTGCTCAGGCTTATTTGTAGGAAACTTAGCTTCAAAGTTTCATAAAGAATGAAGCAGGGAAATACCCTTCCTTCTAAGGATATTAGAACCATCTTTATTGTTCTTCCAGAAAATCATATTAAATTAAAATTATTATTAGAAAATTTTTTGAGTTTTTAAAGCTACCAAGCGATCCGAAATACAGGATTCTAAAAATCTTTCCAGGAAGTATTTTAGCACAAACTCTATTATTGATTCTTGACTGTCAGGTTTTTTGCGCTTTTATCCAGATTTGTTAAATTACAATAATTTCTTATTATCAACGCGAAGAAATTATCTGCTGATAAGTGACAGATTTTGGATAGTGATTTTCCAAAATGCGTTCCTAAAATTAATTCACGAAATTTGTTTGGCCACGTGGAAAGCGATCTCTTGAGTGCAATATTTTAAGAGACTTCTCAGAGCCGATGGAGTATTGAGCTTACAAAGGATTCCTTATTTTACCATTCTTTCCAAAAGCTTATTGTAGGAGGTGGAAATCGTCCACTAACCTCTTATCTTCACCATAATGTGATAATCACTTTTAGGTTATTAGTGCTCATTCAGCCTGCTTTTGATATTGCACTCAAACGAGAATAATGTTTTTGAAGAAAATACTATAAATATGAGTTGGGAAGAGGGCTTGGGAGCAAATATTATTAACAATTTACAAATGATTTCATATAAAAGCTAACACTCTTAAATTATTAGCTCAAACGATTAGTAAATCATCACTTGTTCACCATAATTTGTCACATTCTTATCAAATTTCAACTATCCAAAAACCCAAGCATACAGAATTCTTCATCTAAAGCTCTCTCCTACATATCTGACCTTTACTTCCCACTTAAAACATCAGAACTATACAGAATCTTCATTGCCCCTCCATTTCTAAATTTCACCTAAGTATCAATACTTAATATTCCCTTAGGGGTTTTGGGGTTTTGGGGTTTTGGGG